TGAGTGAGCGAGTGAGTGAATGAGTGAGTGAGTGAGTGAGTGAGTGAGTGAGTGAGTGAGTGAGTGAGTGAGTGAGTGAGTGAGTGAGTGAGTGAGTGAGTGAGTGAGTGAGTGAGTGAGTGAGTGAGTGAGTGAGTGAGTGAGTGAGTGAGTGAGTGAGTGAGTGAGTGAGTGAGTGAGTGAGTGAGTGAGTGAGTGAGTGAGTGAGTGAGTGAGTGAGTGAGTGAGTGAGTGAGTGAGTGAGTGAGTGAGTGAGTGAGTGAGTGAGTGAGTGAGTGAGTGAGTGAGTGAGTGAGTGAGTGAGTGAGTGAGTGAGTGAGTGAGTGAGTGAGTGAGTGAGTGAGTGAGTGAGTGAGTGAGTGAGTGAGTGAGTGAGTGAGTGAGTGAGTGAGTGAGTGAGTGAGTGAGTGAATGAGTGAATGAGTGAGTGAATGAGTGAGTGAGTGAGTGAGTGAGTGAATGAGTGAGCGAGCGAGCGAGTGAGTGAGTGAATGTGTGAGTAAATGAATGAATGAGTGAGTGAAAGTCCACAGGAAGCAGGCGTGACTATTGCTGGGTAGCTGCAGGATCATCACGTGTCTCTAAGGGAAAGCAGGATCTGCAGCAACAGCTTCACACTTGTGGTGACCCTCGTGCGTGTGGCCTCACACCTGGTCCCAGGGCTCCCTTAACTGTAGCCAGGGAGGTTCTGGGGAGAGGCTGGTTCAACCCCAGGCTGGTGGGCGAGGACGCAAATGGACAGCAGGGTCCAGAGACGCTGGGGAGTCCAGCTTCTTGGAGGGGTCCTGGGCAGGACGGCTTAGGAGGGGTCCAGGTGTGGGTGGCTGGTGCAGGAGGGGCCGGGAGGACTTGCTCCCACAGTCACCCCTCCCTCCTGAGCTGGAGCCACCTGCTAGGAGACCTCCCTCCGCCACCCTTTCTCCTTCCCTCCACCAGGAAGCAGCTAAAAATCGGTCTCCTCTTGCTCATGTCCCCTCACTTCTCAGTGCTGTCATCGGCTTCTGGCTGCACTGTCATGGGAGTCACAATGACAAAAAAGCCAAAGCCCAGATGCCCACTTATGGTTCTGAAATTCAATTTAATGAATATTTGTTTAGCAACCACAGTGCCCACCCACCCAGCCTTGGGGATGGAACGTGGAGACGCCGGTCCTTATCCCCTGGGCCCACTGTCTGTCTGGTGGGGAGACGCTGCCAGGTGGGGGCGAGGCGGATGCTGTTGGGAGGGTGCGGACCGAGGAGAGAGGCCGGCCAGGCAGGGGTGTGGCTGTGGCACAGGCCCTTCTCTCTGAACATCCACCTCAAAGTCAGCGCCTTCCCTCACGAGCCCCTCCGCCCGTTCCCACTTCCACAGAGGGGGCAGACCATCGCTCCCTACTCACCTGCCCCCACCTGTCCTATCCACCCACCCACCCACATCAACTCAGCTGCAGTGACGGGGAGTCCAGCCTCGACCGTGTGCACACGACAAACCCACGCCCCTCCTCCCACCCCCACAGCCTCTGAACACAACAGTCACAGACTGGGCCAGGTTTGCTCTTTATTGGTCAAAGACCCTGCCAGACTCCAGCCTCAGCAGCTCACAGCTGGGGAGTGGGGGCTGGACATACTGGGATGGGGGCCAGCCTCCATGGGAAGGGGATGGGCTGCCTCCACCCACCCACCTGTCCCGGACTCGGCCACCTCAGAACAGCAAAGACTCAAAAAGCATTGCATTTTGACTGAAAACAGGCTGAGCTGATGCAAGGCAGCGCTGTGGACCAGGGAGATGCAGGGTGTACACACTTAGAGGCTCTGACCCAGGACACAGCCACCTGCCCCGCCCCCTGCAGGCCATGGGTGCCATAGTGCATGTGGGTGTGCGTCAGGCGTCACGTTAGAAAGCAGATCATGAGAGGCTGGGTGTGTGCAGGTGGTCCAGGAAGGCGCCAGGCCAGGCTGGGCACTGGCGCCTGTCATGGTCCCGGCTGGAAGGCCCCAAGAAGGCTCCAGAAGGACCCTAGCTGGGTAAGGCATGGAGTTTTGGTTTCCCAGAGCCCAGTCCCAGGCTGTGACTCTCAGCCAGAAGAACCTTGCTCAGCAGCACGTCCAGCGGCCGCTGCTGTGCCAAGGCCGGCCCGAGGTCTCTCACTTGGCTTTGGGCTTGGGCCTGAGGCCTGTGGGGAAGGAGAGGAAATGACAGTGTTAGGAGCAGCCTTGCTGGGGACAGCACCAGGGTGCCCGCTTCTGGCTCCCCCGGTCCCTGCATCCCCCATCACTACTGCCCAGTGGACTGTGCTGTGAATCCTGGGTCTGTTCTGACCCCAGGCTCTTTTTCTGGGGCAGCAAAACTCATCCAGGTAGAAGGTGCCGGGATGACCCTGCCAAGCTGGCTCCTGTCCAGGCTGGGTGCCCAAGCCTGTTTCCTTTGTGGCCTACTTCCCTGTGCCTCAGACCCTCACTGCACTCTGTCTACACTCACCGGTCCCCATTGTCACTACCCAGAGCTCCCTCAGCTGCTTCCCCACTGGGTCCTTTTGCCAGGATCCCATCCTGCCAGCTCTTTCTCCAGCTGGGTGCTGAGGGCACAAGGTCCTAGCCCCGGTGTCTCCTGTCATCTGGACAGCTTCCCCAGTGGGCTCTGCAGGTCCCCTGCCCCCAACACCCTCTGTGTTCTCTGGTCCAGGGGCCCTTGCTCCTGCAGCCATTCCCCAAAGTGCCCCACGCCACCGCCATCCCAGTGCCCAGTGGTGTCCCCAGCTCCTCAGTGGGACTGGGGCAGGCTCAGGCTTGAGAACCACCACTTGAACGATGGGGCAGGAAAATGAGTTTAGCAGAAATGGACTGTGAGTCACTGAAAAGGGATTTCGGTGCCCTTCCCGGCTGCAGGAGCCGGGAGAAGCAGCCAGGCCCAAGGCTGGGGCAGCAAGTCGGCTGAGCTGGGAGCAGTGGGTGGGGCCAAAGCAAGGAGGTGTTCAGAGGAGGGGCCGTCAGTCAGGGACATGGGAGCCATAGGTCCCCATCAAGGTGCACGGTAGTGACAGGTCACTGCATCCTCAAGGCAGTTTAGAAAGGGAGGAGGAAAGCCCGTAGGAGGGGACACAGGACGTCACTGTCCAACTGGTGCTGACTGCATGGGCTGAGAAGAGGGTACTTTGTCCCCTGGGACCACCACAGGCTCCTTACTAATGACAAAGCAAACAGGACTCATACAGTGGGAAAGTCTGTGGAAATCACCCCCTTAACCACATGATCAGGGCTAACGTCACAAACCACAGGATGAACAGGCCCCCAGGCCCCACTCTTGATGCTGTGGGGAGGGAACGGCCTGCCCCCAGCTCAGCTGGACCTACTCGGGGGGAAGCAGCCAGATGAACCGAGAGAGGTGTCTTCCAATACGTCAACATCTTACAAGACAAAAAGAGGCTGGAATGTTCTAGATAAGAGGAGACTGAAGAGATGTAATGACCAAACACAGCATGGGATTCTGGATAGGATCTTGTTCCCATGAAACCAAAGCAGTAACAACAAAAGGTACCACTGGGACAACTGGGCTCTTGCACGGGGACCACGCATCATAAAACAGTGTCGCATGGACATGAAACGCCCCTGGTGTGCCCACTGCCCAGTGGCTGTGTGAAGACAGCCTTACTCTCAGGTGGTACCTGGGGATGAATTTAGGGGCAAAGTGTCACAATTTCTAGGTAAGAGGGGGCAATGTAGCAAAACGTTAGCACTTTTGGTATGTTTTGCAAACTTTTGCAATTTGGGGGAGAAGGTAGTGTTCATCCTGGTCTCCTTGCGAATTTCACGTTGGGTTGAAGTTTTTCCAAATAAAAAGCTGGGATGACAGGGTAGAATTCCTTCTTCCAGTCCTCAGCACCGGGATGGCAGGACCCTGAGCAGGGCGGCAGTCAAGCTCATGCAGCAGGCCGTGGGGCAACCCCGTGTGGAGCACAGACCCATCACCAGGCACACCAATCTCTCACTGGACAGTGGCCACTAGTGGCTGCTGGCCCCCGGAGCCCATGGACTGCACGTCCAACTGTCTCCCATCCCTGGCGCCAGGGCTGCAAGTCCAAATTCCAGCCTCTGAGGGAAATGCCAGTGACTTTCTAAAAAATATGTGCTGATGTTTCACTCCAGAGAGCTAAGCTGGGAAAACAACCCCAGGATGCAGACGCTGGAACCAGGAGTGAAGGCTGTGCCCCGATAGTGAGGACTGACTGTACAAGGAAGTACATCCTTCTGGTGTCACTACTGGTCTTGCCTCTAATGGGCAGCAGCAGACCTCATCCCTGCATTCTTGACCCTAAGCCCTGGGCCCAGCGGTCAGCACATCTGTGGTACGAGCTGGATGCTGGCCCGCCCTGCGCAAGGCTGGAGGCGCCAGAGGACCCATAGCCTGAGCTTGCGATCAGGCCGGGGCAGCTCTCTGCAGAGGATCTTCCCCACCTGGCACAGGCAGGGCATGTGGCAAGAACCCCAGGCTGTTCTGTCTGCTTGTATCTGTTAGCTGCTCTGGCCACAACAATGACTCTGGCTGTCCTGCCCCCCGTGGAGGTTCCAGAAGACCTGCTGCTGCACACACGGGGAGCAGCCTGTGTCTAAACAGACACACTCACTGCCTCCAGAACCTGGCCTCGAGGGAGGGGAGGGTTTCAGCCTGCTTGTCTCTGTCTCCTCAGTCTCCCTGGGGACATGCTTGGCCAGCACTGGGGCCAGAGGAGGGCTGGGGTGTGCCCCAGAGGCCCAACCCTGTCAACAGACTCAGACTGAAGGTGTCCCTCCAGGGAGCCAGGGGTCAGTAAAACCACAGGGTTAGCAAGACTGCAGTTAGGGCTGAGAGACAGGAGGGACAGGAGCAACCTCAGCTTGCCCTGCTGGGCCAGGGGCTAAGCCACCCCCAAACACCCCAGCACATGCCCTCAGGGGCCCTGGACCACTGCTCCCTGACAGGAACCCAGCTTGGCCCTGTCTGCCCCGCCCTTAAGGCCTGTCTGGCCGGAGGCTAGCTCTGAGGTTGCCTCTTGTCCCAGCAGAGGAGATACCAGGTAAGCAAGGAGGTCAGGCTGCCCACGTGCCCTGGAGAGGGAGGGGACAGGGAACGAGACCACCATCGATGGCCGCAGGAGGCAGGAGCACCCAGGTGGGCTGGAGGGAAGCCGGGGTTAGTGTCCAGAAGGGGCCCTGCTGCCACCATTAGTCCACAGAGAGCGCCAGCTGCATACATACCTTACTGGATCACACACAGTCTTTTTGTTTTACTATCGTCAGAATCAGGGGCAACCTCTGCTTTCAAATAAAAGAAACGCACTCAACTGCTTATCACACCCGAGCAGCTGTGAACTCAGAGCAGGAGGGGGCTGGCAAGGGTGGGGCTCGTTGCGCCAATCCCCTGAAAGCACCCAGTCATTCTTTGGCTGCTGAACCAAAGCACAGCTGCATGCCCAGGGGCCTGGTGCCAAGTCCCCCACCCTGCAGCAGCCTGGGGTGCAGTCGTCCCACCCCCACTCCCTGCTGCAGGTGGCGTGAAGGCAGGAATTAGTGGGTTAGGGGAGCCATGGGACAGGCAGTGGCTACCCCCATGACTGCCTCCTCTCCTGCAGGATGTGCCCCAAGTCTCCCTGTCTCCTGGAGGCTGGCCCAGCTTGTAGCACCCGTGGGGCAGGGAGGGACTGGTTGAACGGCTGGGAAAGATCAGCACCTGGCATGGGGCGGACGGGCTTTACCCACACGCTTGACACCCGGCCCTGCACGGCTCACCCCCATCCTCACCCAAGTTACCTTCCTGGCTCCTTGGGAGGCGCTTCTTCCTTCGCTTGCCTGTCCCCTTGGAGGCCCGGGCCCGGGCCCTGGGGAGGGTGCCAGACCCCGAGGAGTCAGTCACTGTGTCCCCAGAGAAGGACTTGTCCAGGGACGTGTCCAGTGCGGACTCTGGGGCTGTGTCCTCCTCGTCCTCATCCCCACTGGGGCCTGTGGCAGGGAGGCGAGCACTGTGGCCATGGACGGCCACGTCCCCCAGCCCCTCGTTGGTGCTGTCTGCCTCGGCTAGGTGGATGCCCTGCAAGGCTTTGGGGTCCTCAGCATCTTGGCTTGAACTTTTGGTCTCAGGGGGCTTGATGCTGGAGAACTTGAGGGGCTCCAGGGCTCGAGCATCTCCCAGAGTCACTGGCCAGGCCTCCTTGGAGGGCTGGGGGCTCCAGGTGTCCTCAGCAGTGAAGAATTCACTGGCATCGATGTACCAGGAGGAACGCCTCTCCAGTGGCGCGGGACAACCCTCCTCCAACTGCTCTCCAGTGGGCTGTGGGTCGGGGGTCACGGCATCTACCAGGTCCCAAGCCGGGGACTTGCTGGCCACCGCAGCAGCAGCAAGGCCGGGCTTTGGAGTGGGGCAGCTAGTGCTGCCCATGGGGGCTCCTGCAGGGTCGCTGGCGGACACTGTGGGTGAAGAGTTGTGTCAGTGAAGGGCAGGGGCCCAGCTCCGAGCCATCCCAAGTAGAGGCCTCCCTCCACCTCAGCTCCTGCCGATGCCCCGCAGAGCCCCCTCCCTGGGAGGCCTTCCTGATCCTGGGGCTGGTTTGACTCCTTTGAACCTCACTGTCTTAGGAGCCCCCAAGTGTGGCTCCCACGGGGCAGGACTGGGCCTGTTCACAGACTGGGAGAGCAGGAGACATTGGGCCCCAAGGGGGCGGCATAGCCACCCCTGTACCTGGCACCCTGGTGCAGCCACCCCAGGAGAACGGGACCCCCCCACCAGGCCTTGCCACCAGCATCTCCTGCCACCTCTAGTGCCCTCTGAGCCCCAGCAGCGTCTGTCAAGGGGCCCATGGCCCTGTCTCTCCTGCCGGTCCAGGCGACTTTCATGCCAGTGGAAGAGCCCTTTGTTACAGCAGAGAAACTCTGACCATCGTCAGAGAAAGCAGAGGGCTGAGCTGCCCCTGCCTGCCCCCGGCTGTCCCCTATCTCAGGCACGTCTGTTCAGTGGGGGGAGAGGAGAGGGCTTTCCCTTGAGGTCAGGGGGCGCTTCCTGGAGGAATGGGCGGTGCTAGGCTAGGAAGGCACAGGGAGGAACAGGAAAGGGGACAAGGAGGTGGGTGAGGGTCTCACCGGGCTCTGTGACCCTCGGGTGTTCCATTGAGGCTGCCTTGCTGGCCCCTTCGGCGTCCCCACGGCCACGGGCCGTCTTCCGCAGCTGGAAGCCCTTCCTGATGTCAGCCAGCAGGGCATCGATGACACACACCTCCTCCTGCTTCCCAGGACCCTTCCTGACTGAGGGGCCCCGAGACCCTCAGAGGGGGGCTCGTGGGACCCTGGAGCCCACCCAGATGGCCTCCAGGAGAAGGGAGGGGCGGCACTACAGGACTTTGGGGAAGGGGGAGAGCGGCCGAAGTGCAGACAAGGGGCCCCACTTGGCCAGTCCCTGCCCCCCCAGGCCCGGGTGGCCTCACCAGGCTTCCCGTCCGCGCCCCGTGGCCTCCGCGCCTCCTCCTCCGCCAGCTGTTGCTTCCTCCTCTCCGCCCTTGCCGCCTGCTGCTTCCGGTCCTTGTTCTCCTGCACAGGCAGACATGGTGTGTCACCCAACCCTCCAACCCTCCTCGGCTGCACCAGCCTGGGACCCGGCGTGGGTGGCATGTCCCCTCCCTGAGCCACAGAAGGACAGGGCTTAGGGATGACGGCTGGACCACCCACAGCTCTCGGCACCAAGCCCCGCCTGAGGACAGCGAGGGAGGCCATGGGACCCCACTCTGGCCTTGGAGGGGCCCTGCCGTTCCTGGGCCTGACCCACCTTCAGGGCATTGATGAAGAGGTCCCGGAAGGTCTTCATGGTGCTGAAGGTGTCCTCCAGGGAGAGCTGCTGGGCGTCCTCGCACAGGTACTCAGCCAGTGCCAACTTCTTCTGCTTGATGGCTTCAAACTGCTCGTCCAGTGCCCGAGAGGCTACGATGTGGTCCTGGGAGCACAGGGCACGGTCACTGGCCTGTGGGGGCCCCACAGAGGGCACCACTGGCTACTGGGGAGGCAGGCGGGGCTTCTGCGCGGGCGCTCAGGTTTGTGCCCGGACTGCCAGGATCGGAGGGCCCTCCCCGGCAGGAACCACCTCGGGCCAGGAGACAGCGACGCGAAACTCCCCTCCCTCGGGGGCCCTGCTCCTCTCTCTACCTGGCAGGTCCCGGGCTCAGATCCCCCCCTCTGGAGTCCACGGGCAGCCTCCTCCACCAGCCTCAGGGGCCCCCACTCGCTTGCCTGGAGGCGACTGCTGTACTGCTCCTGCACCTCGGGGACCGAGCCAGACACCTTCTGCTCCGTCTGCAGAAGCTTATTCAGGTTGGTGCTGGACTCTGAGCGGATGACCTCCAGGTTGATCCTGAAATGACCGGAGGGTGGGGCAGGGTCAGGTGGCAGCTGATGCCCAGCCTCTCTGGGACAGTGGGGGCCCCTTGCCCACCCCCCCAGGGACAGGGTGCCTCTCCCTTTAAGCACTGCAGGTTGTCAGAAACGCGTTGGGACTTTGAGGCCCGGGTGCAGCATGGGACGGAGTTCTCGCTCCGGCAGGCCCTCGGTCTGTTGTGGTAGGACAGTGAGCCCTCACAGGCTACTTGTCGTCCTTGCCTGACCCTCATAGAGCCCATGAGGGGCCTGCGCTGGGAGCATGGACCCTGGAGTCGGGTGGCCCAGGCTGCCCCTCTATAGCCACCTCCTCTGGTTGTGTGACACAGGAGGGTGATGCAGCTTCCCTGGGCTTCAGTTTCGTCTGCACAATGCAGGTGGTATGCCTGTGCTCATGGGCTGCCATGAAGGGCAACCTTGTGAAGAGGCTGTGTTAGACCAGCTCCAGGGGTGACTTTCGCCAGGTCACCCCCTGGCCCCTGTAGGCCTTAGTTTCCTAGTCTAAGTCACACGGGGACAGGATATGACAGACATGAAGGCCTGTCCCATTGGGGGCACTGGGGTTGTGCTGCAGCCATGAGACCCAGCCCTGGCTGGCCACCTTACTGGCCGGGATGGGAGGCCGGGCCCCTGGTGCTGCAGAGGTGGGTGGGGCTGGCAGGAGCTGCCTACCCAGCTGCTTGGGAGGGCTTCTCCAGGTCCTGGGGCAGCTGCAGGAGGTCAGGGTGGCTCTGTTCCACTTCCTGCAACAAGACGTGTCCAGTGAGATGCACTCTGGCCACATCCTGGACCTTGGGACGCCCCCTCTGCCCCACCCTGCCAGTGCTCTAGCATTAACCCTTAGCAATTAAGGTCCAGAATACCCTCAGCACTTTGGGCCTCCTGGGACCTCTGAATCCTTCCCTTAGGCCTGGCTATGACTTTGTAACATTTTTGCTTTTCTTAGGGAATGCACCACACCAAACTGGGGGTGGGGGCAGGTGTCCAGGGGAGGGACAGCAGAGTCTGGGATGGGGAGATCAGGGGGGCTGGAACAGTGGGCATGGACTCCATCCTGGAGGTGCCAGGGAGGACTTAGAGTGCTGTGTCCAGCTGCCCCTGGGGGACCCACCTCCAGCACGTGGTGTAGCAGTGTCACACGGTTCTGCTGGGACTTGGTCTCCGTGAGCTTCAGCAATGTGTTGATCTTGAAGCCATCGGCGTCACCTGTGTGGCTGCCCTGGGAGGGACTGGGGGTGAGTCTCCCTGCCTACCAGGCAGGGGCTACAGTATGAGTCAGGCTGGGCCCAGCCCCTGACTTACATAGTTGAGGAAGTTCCCGATCCTAAGGATTAGCTGGCAGAAGATGGGCAGCTGCTGGCTGGTGAGCAGGCCTGCGGGGGTGGGCAGGGCTGAGGGTGGTCGCTGCGGTCCAGAGCCCCAGACACCCTGCCACAGGGCCTGGTCCTGCTTACCTGCATTCCTGCACCCTCTATCCCCCCAGGTCCTGTCCCCAGGCTCAGCTCAGCCCCAGGAAGGACACAACCCAGTACCACCATTAAGTCTCGGGGCGCTGGAAGTGGGCGTGCCCAACACCAGCACCCACTGGGCCTACACAACCCAGTGGACAGACAATTGCTGCCTATCCTGTGGTGAGAACACTGGGGCACTGAGGAACCTCCTGGAACCTGTGGCTGCCCGTTCTCAGCTAACCCTTGGGGCTGCAGGGAGGTCGGCCCTCCCGGCCGTGTGGATGAGATGGGAGTGGACATCCACTGCATGTGCCCCTGACGCAAGGGAGCTGCACATCGGTGGTTGGGACCCGTCCGTGCCCCTGCCCCTGCCCCTGCCCCATGGCTGCAGCAAGTCCCTGCTGATGCCTCGTTCAGAGTGTGAGAAAGTAGTGTGTGTGCACGTGTGTACCTGTGTCTGTGTGAACAGGGTGTGAGTGCATCTGTATGTATGTACGCACGTCTGGCAGCGTGTGTCTGTGCATACGTGCACATGAGTGCAGGTGTGTGTCCATCTGTGGGTGCGTGTGATTATGCGTGCTGTATCTATGTGCACATGTGAGTGTGCACGAGTGTGCAGCACACGGGCATGCATGTGCGTGGGTGTCTGCATAGGCATGAGAATGGGACTGTGCATGCACACGTGTGTGCCTGCATGTGGTTAGTGGTGGTGAAGGTCAGCACCCTCAAGTGCTCTTGGTGGATGTCATGAGCTTGGTGGCAGCAGCGGCCCCACCAGCACCTGTGGCTCCTGCACCCACGCCCTGGGCTTCTGCAGCCACACTCACTGTCACAGGCGGCGAGGACCAGCTGGACCTTGGGCTGCACCATGTCTAGCATGACGGATGTGCCTTCACACAGCAGCATGCACTCGACCCGCAGCTGGTGGCTGAGAACAGCAGGCTGGAGGTCAGGGCCCAGAGGCTCCACACCTGCCCCACTCTGTGGACACGAGGCCCCAAGGGGCCACCCAGCACAGAGCTCTGGTTTTGGTGGGCTAGGCGGGAGGGAGCCCATGGCCTGTCCCTGTCCTGCTTGCACATTCCTGGGTCCACCTCCAGAGTCAAATTCATGGGACTAAGGTGGGGGCTGGGAAGAGGCCTAGAGGTAGACCCAAATCCCCTGCAGCCAGGGAGGCTGGGGGAACTCGGGGAAGCCTTCTCATGAAGACCCAGCCCTGCCGTGTGGGGCGGGAGTGCTGTTTGGAACCAGCACTCTCTCCTCCCCGTCTGGGCCCAGCTCCCCACCTTTGCCCTGCTCTGCCCCTTCCCTGCAGCCGGGCTCCGGGCCCGAGGGTTGCCGGTGCTCACCAGGGAATGCCCAGCAGGAGGAGGTAGAACTGGTCGGTGCTGGCCAGCTTGGCTTGCTCATCTGTGAACGCCCGCAGGTTTTCAATCTGCCGGGAGGAGGCCCACGTGTGGGACCCGCCGCACGCCAGCTCCCGCCTCCCTCGGGAAGCCTCCTGGACTGCTCGCCGCTGCCTACCCACTCCACTGCCCACTCGCATCTGGGCACAGCGCCCCAGCTCAGGGCAGGGGCACAGCTGGGCCCCCTCCCCTTCTCTGTCCCCTGGCTGGGAGTCCCCAGGCAGGCCCAGCCCCATCTCCTCTGGCTGGCTGCAGAGTGGGCCCTGGCTTACCTCATGCTTCTCCGGAAGGAGCTTGAGGAGCTGTTTGAGAACCTCCACATCAAACTTGGTGGTGTCTCCAGCCCGGATCATACCAGCGACCTCCTCATTGGGGCTGGAGGGAGGGGGTTGGGGGCGGAGGAGGGTGAGCGTGTGTTGCCCCACCTGGCCTCTGCTGGGCCTTTCCAGGCAGGGTATCCTCACACAGCCATGAGGGGGCAGGGCCAGCACCAGTGGGACACAGAGAAGGCTGGCCATCTGCCCAGGGCCACACAGTAAATGAAGGTCAGGGCTGAGTGACACTCTTCCTGTCTGCCAGAGAACCCTCTCCCCTCCCCCTCCCAGGGGCTGCTCAGGAGATGGGGGGATGGCTCAGGGGCACCCAGCGAGCATCCTGGCAGGAGTGAGTGCCTGACATCTGCATCAGGGAAGGACTTGGGGGCTGGGAGTCCGGTTCTAGGTCCTCACCCTGGTTTGTCTTCTACCTATCTGGCCTTGGTGGGTGGTCTCGAGGGTCGCTAGCTGGGGAAGTCTGTGGCTAGTACCCCACTGTCTCTTGCCCTGGGATGGAACGTGCACCTCCCAGAGGCAGCCTGCAGAGGGTACTGCTGAACCCCAGGTGAGAGCTCAGGTGAAGGCAGCAGCCTGCAGAGGTAGCTCTGCTGGAGGGCCCTGTGACAGGGCCACCTCCAAGAGGTCTCCATCACTCACCATTTAAACTGCTTCAGGAAGATGTTGAGGTTCAAGCTCTTCTTGGAGTCAAGAAAAGTGATCTGGAAAACACCCCCACCCAGTGGGCTGGTACCCGGAGGTACCATGGTGGGCAACCTGGTCTGAGCCCCTCCCCCGTCCCACCTCTTTGGGCTCCTTCCTAGCCGGGGCAGCTGCTGCTCGTTCCTTAGGCTTGACTTCAGGTAAGGAGAAAAGCTGCTCGAGGCTGGAGAAGTCAGGCTCCACCACCATGATGTTGGGGCTGCTCAGAGATGCCCACATGGAGTTGCGCTCTGTGGGGGAGGGGCGGGGAGGGTCACTGCCAGTCAGTCTCTCACTCACCCCTGGGCCTGGGGGTTCAGAGGCAGGGGGGCCCGGGCCCCC